GGGGCGAACATAGTCGATGGCATGTGGATTTTCAGGGTGAAGCGGCCGCCGGGTTCTCCGCCTGCCTTCAAGGTGCGTTATGTTGCCCAAGGCTTCAGTCAGCTACAGGGGGTTGACTACTTCCAGACCTTCTCCCCCACCCCGAAGATGACTACTCTTCGGGTGTTGCTGCACGTTGCTGCTCAGCGTGACTACGAGTTGCACTCTCTGGACTTCAGCACAGCTTTCCTGCAGGGTTGCCTGCACGAGGAGATCTGGCTGCGCCGCCCACCTGGCTTCACTGGGTCGTTTCCTGCAGGCACCCAGTGGAGCCTCCGGCGGCCAGTCTACGGTCTCTGCCAGGCGCCTCGTGAGTGGCACGACACACTGAGGACTACACTTGCGGCTCTTGGGTTTGCTCCTTCTACCGCTGACCCGTCGCTGTTTCTACGCACCGACACCTCGCTGCCGCCGTTCTACGTTCTCGTCTACGTCGACGACGTCGTCTTTGCCACTGCTGACACTGAGGCACTGACCCTTGTGAAGTCGGAGCTGCAGAAGAGACACAGCTGCACTGACTTGGGTGAACTGCGCAGCTATCTTGGCTTGCAGATCACCCGGGACAGAGCTCGGCGCACCATTACCCTGACTCAGTCACACATGGTGCACCTGGTCCTTCAGCGCTTCGGCTTCCAGTTCTCCTCGCCACAGCCCACTCCTCTGTCTACCAGCCACTCGCTCTCAGCCCACCTTCGGACAAGTCCGTAGAGCCGAGTGGTCCGTACCCAGAGCTTGTGGGTTGCCTCATGTACCTGATGACGTGCACACGACCTGACCTCGCGTACCCTCTCAGCCTTCTGGCTCGCTACGTGGCTCCCGGTAGGCACCGAAAGGTGCACTGGGATGCTGCGAAGAGGGTACTGCGTTACCTGTGCAGTACGTCGGGCATGGGGCTCGTGCTTGGAGGACGGGGTCCAGTTGTCCTCACTGGTCACGCAGACGCTTCTTGGGTTGACGACTCAGCTACGCAGCGGTCGTCACATGGTTACACCTTCAGCCTTGGTTCCGGCTCGGTTTCCTGGCGGTCTACCCGCTCATCTTCGGTTCTCAGCTCCAGTTGTGAGGCTGAGATCTGCGCAGGGGCCATGGCTGCACAGGAGCTACGCTGGCTCACCTACCTGCTGACTTACTTAGGAGAGCAGCCTCGTTCGCCTCCAGTTCTGTACGTAGACAACAAGGCCATGATTGCCTTGTATCAGGAGCACAGACTGGAGCACAGTACGAAGCACATCGCTCTGCGATACTTCCTTGCTCGAGAGTTGCAGCAGTGTGGCCAGCTTCGTCTTGCGTACGTGGCCACTAGGGCCAACCCTGCTGATATATTCACCAAGGCACTTCCGCCTGGTGATCATCAGCGCTTCTCTACTGTGTTAGGCCTTGTGCCTACTCTGCCTCACTTGCTTACTGCGTGACTTTGCTTGTACTGTGATCTATATATATACCTGCATGCTTGCACTTTCTAGGGTATGATCACTGTATTGTTTGTTCTCTTTTATTTAACTCTGCATGTGAACTGGCCTTGTGGCCCTTTGCTTGTGCTCAAACTGTGTGGTGACTTTGTGATCCACCCTGAGCTTGCTTTGCTTTTCTTGACTGGTCTTGTGACCACTTGTTCTCCCCCAATTTGCCTATAGGGGTGTGTCAAACTTATATATAGCTTATATTGTGTAGGCTATAGTGGGGTAGCCCATAAGGGTTACAACCCAATTAGGGTTAGTACTTGTACCCAACTTCTGTTCAATGCATTCATTCTCGTTCATGATTTTGACACGTTAATTATGTGCGTCGTTTCATCCCTGACATGGCATGCTTAACTGCCCCACTGACGGACTTACTGCGGAAAGGGGTCGCTTTTACGTGGGGGGAGAAAGAGCATGCTGCCTTCTCTACCCTGAAAAATGTTCTTTTTTCACCGCCCGTATTGCGCATCGCCGACCCACACTGCCCATTTGAAGTGGTTACCCATGCAAGCAACATCGCCATTGGAGCCGTACTGATACAGGACTTCGGGAACGGTTTACAGCCCATCATATACGAGTCACGAAAACTGCATCCGCCCGAGAAAAAATTACCCGATACACGATCGCGAAATGCTTGCGATCGTACATGCGTTCAAAGTGTGGCGCTGTTACTTGACTGGCGCAGACGTGATAGTACGGACATACCATAAATCACTACAATACCTCCGCGCACAGCCCCACCTCAACCCACGACAAATTCGTTGGCTCGACTTCCTCGAGTCAAATTTTCACTACACGGTCACCTACAAGAAAGGGGCATCGAACATCGCTGACGCATTAACCCGACCCACAGCCCACCTCCACGCCATACTACTCGCCCAAACCAGCCCACTAATGACACGACTATTTACCCACGGCTGCGAGACTGACCCTTTCTTCACAGGTGGGAATTCGCAGCAGTTCGCAGCAGCAAAAGGAGTTTATTACGTAAAAGCCGGCACCGTCCGAATCTAGGTACTAGGCTACACGTTACTACGGGAATTACTGCTACAGGAGGCACACGACGGAATTACCTCAGGGCGTTTCGGAGTAGAAAAAACACGACAGCAGCTGAAGCGGTACTATTACTGGCCCGAAATGCTGACCGACATGCAGCGACACGTGGCATCGTGTCCCACCTGCCTACTCATGAAATCATCGCGGAAACGGCCGGCGGGACAGTTGCAGCCGATACCACCCCGAGAGCGTGCTTGGCAGCAGGTGACGATGGACTTCGTCACGGGGTTACCGGCCGGAGCAAGTGGGAACGACGCGATCCTGGTCGTCGTCGATCGGCTGACGAAAATGGCACATTTCGCAGCCTGCAAAAAATCAATCACAGCTAAAGAATCAGCCCGCCTCTTCATCTCAACCATCGTTCGACTACACGGGATACCAACAGCGATCATCAATGACCGTGACACGAAATTCACCAGCAACTTCTGGCGGAACCTGTGGCAGCAGTTCGGCACGAGACTGCAATTTAGTTTTTCATACCACGTGTCAAACCGACGTGTCAGAATCCTAACCACTAGACCATTGGGATAAAAGGGCTTGTTAAGTAACGGGTCAGTGCGTCCATAACCCCCCAGGCCAACATGCCTGTAACCCTTCCCTAGGATCAATCAGGGATCACCAGTGGACCTCTGACACCCCCCCGCACTGGGATGCCCGAAGTGCACACACTGGGATTCGAACCCGAGACCTTTGCTATGATACCATGTCAGAATCCCAACCACTAGACCATTGGGATAAAAGGGCTTGTTAAGTAACGGGTCAGTGCGCCCATAACCCCCCAGGCCAACATGCCTGTAACCCTTCCCTAGGATCAATCGGGGATCACCAGTGGACCTCTGACACGACGGACAGACAGAACGGACAAATCAGACCATGGAACAGTTAATCAGAGCCACGTGCGACGATCCGACCACCTGGGAGCAGCAGCTGCCACTCATCGAATTCGCGTACAACAACTCGCCATCCGCCACGACCCAACAGTCACCGTTTTACCTGAACTACGGACAAGACCCTACAGTACCCATGACCCCGAATTCTGACAACCCAGTACTACGTGCGCAACAGTTCGCCGAAATATTACAAGCAGCACGAACCAGGGCAGCCGAGGCAATAAAAAAGGCCAACGTCATCGCTAAGCGCAACGCCGACCACCACCGCAGACGTGTCACTTACCAGCCCGACGACCTAATTTTACTCGACACTCAAAACCTCCGCCTGCCCATAACCCCGAAACTCCGCCCCCGATATTGCGGGCCATTCCGCATCAGCCACATGATCACACCTGTCACCGCCCACCTCCTCCCTGCTGGCTGGTACGTCAGCCTGCTTCGCCCTTACGTCCCATCCACCAGCCAACTGGCCCGCAACCGCCCAGCCAGCATGACACGACCGCCGACAGAACTAGTCATCACGCCCGAAAAGATTCTAAGCCACCGAGTTCGTGACCCACGGGGAGCTCGAAGGGTTGAATTTCCGACCCGCTGGAAAGACCGCATGCCCACCGAGGACAATTGGGTTCCCCTGGACAGAATCGAAAGCCACCACGTCCTCACCGAGTATCTGCGCAGTCGGAATTTCAGGGATGTACACGCGCTTTCGTTAGGAAGGCCTCCTTAAGGGGGGGGGGGGGGGGGGTAGTGTAAGGAAAATCCCTTTTCCTTACTTCGCGTCCCTACTCAGCGCGTATACCACTGTTCCCGCCAACAGCCCCTCACAGTAATCCGTTACCACTCGCGACATTCGCCTCGACACCATTCCCGCCACTGTTCACGATGCGACCCAACCTCACAGTTCGGTTGGTAACCCGCGCTCCGGACCTCCGCCTCGACACTCCCCAACCTCGGCGCTAGGCCCGTCGCGCACCCCAATTTCCACACGTTACCGTTACCAATGTAGCTTCGCTATATATTCTTCGCTCAATCCTTCGCTCGAAGTATTCTTGTCTAGATAGTGCAATCCTCGCTCGCTCACTCACTTGCACTCGTAACAGGAAGACACCACCAACACGTCTGTGCAGTCTGTGCAAACAATAAAGAGGAACGATTTCGTATGCACCAATCACATCCGCATGCGGCTTGGAATACCGTCATTTGACGACTATTTGTTTTCGCTTTCGTGCTCGTAAACCATTCGCGATCGCTCGTTACTGTTATGATGCATGCGAAACCAGTGACCACACTCTGCTCAACATCTCTCACGCCAAGCCGAACCCGAAGTCACACGCCCTAAACTTCCTAACCTAACAATATATCAAAGCAAATCCGCAGCACCTATTTCTCATACCTATCTCCACATCTGCCCGCGCCAGTCCCCATTCCAGCCGTGCCCGCGTCAACCGTCTCGTACGTAGACCGCCGTTCGTCTGTTACCTGTCCTCTCAGCAGTGGGGGCTGAACTCGCGTGCCGTCACTTTCTGCGCGCCGATCGCACTCTCGCTGGTCCGCCATGGCACACGCGGCTCGCATCGCGCGGCAGGTCGTGCAGGGCGCGACGAGCGCGCGCGTGCGATTCTCCACGGAGGCGGCGAAAGCCTCGCGCGAGACGCTGGTGAGACGAGGGGCGGGTGAGGCGAGCAGCGGGTGAGGCGAGCAGCGGGTGAGCCCCACACCGAGCTGAGCGTAGCCGTCGATCTTACCGCGTCTCGCCTTGTGCGCGGTCGTCGATCTTTTCCATGCTGCCATCTCCCTCCCACTGCTGTAGCCCCCCCTGGCCGCGCGGTCGACCGTGGGTGCGCGAGAAGCGAGGCGCGCTTGCCGCTCCACACTTGTCCACCTCAGCGGCCGTATCTCACGTTCTGCGCTTGGAAATCGCCCTCTTTCTTGGCATCGCGCTCACTGGCCGCCCGTCACCAAGCCCCATCGCTGTCGTGTCATTGTCCCCCCGCCCGCCGCCGGCCCCCTTCCTCTCTCTCCGACGCTCGTCCTTCCCTTGCCCCCCCACCTCCCCCCGCCCCCAGCTGGTGGAGGACGACGCGGCGCTGCGCAAGTACAACCCGCAGAAGGCCGCCCTGGCCGCCTGCAACACCGTTGGTAACGCCGTCACCGCGCTCGTGCTCGCAGGTAGGGCACCGTGATGATGTGGCACTCTGATGACGTGGCAGAAGCCCTCAGCACGTGGCTGCCTGATCACGTGGCAGGCCGATTTGATATTTATGCTTGTCGTGGCGAAGTGCGAGCATCATTCGCTGGCCTATGAGCTTGTCTCTGCAGATCATTGCCTATGAGCGCGCCTTGAGAAACGCATCCCACCGCACAGCGTTTGTTGCTGGCGTGAATCGCCAGTGCCGTGCGTGCCGCCTTCCATGCTGTGCTGCCACGTGCCCTCTCCCACTCCCTCACACTCGTATGCCCCTCCCTCCCTCCCTCCCTCCCTGCCTCCCTCCCTCCCTCCCTCCCTCCCTCCCTCCCTCCCTCCCTCCCTCCCTCCCTCCCTCCCCGCCTCCCTCCCTCCCTCCCTCCCTCCCTCCCTCCCTCCCTGCCTCCCTCCCTGCCTCCCTCCCTCCCTCCCTCCCTCCCTCCCTGCCTCCCTCCCTCCCTCCCTCCCTCCCTCCCCCCCTCCCCCCCTCCCCCCCTCCCCCCCTCCCCCCCTCCCCCCCTCCCCCCCTCCCCCCCCTCCCCCCCTCCCCCCCTCCCCCCCTCCCCCCCTCCCTCCCTCCCTCCCTCCCTCCCTCCCTCCCTCCCTGCCTCCCTGCCTCCCTCCCTCCCTCCCTCCCTCCCTCCCTCCTCCCTCCCTCCCTCCCTCCCTCCCTCCCTCCCTCCCTCCCTCCCTCCCTCCCTGCCTCCCTCCCTCCCTCCCTCCCTCCCTCCCTCCCTCCCTCCCTCCCTCCCTCCCTCCCTCCCTCCCTGCCTCCCTCCCTCCCTCCCTCCCTCCCTCCCTCCCTCCCTCCCTCCCTCCCTCCCTCCCTCCCTCCTCCCTCCCTCCCTCCCTCCCTGCCTCCCTCCCCCCCTCCCCCCCTCCCTCCTCCCTCCCTCCCTCCCTCCCTCCCTCCCTCCCTCCTCCCTCCCTCCCTCCCTCCCTCCCCCCTCCCTCCCCCCCTCCCCCCCTCCCTCCCTCCCTCCCTCCCTCCCTCCCTCCCTCCCTCCCTCCCTCCCTCCCTCCCTCCCTCCCTCCCTCCCTGCCTCCCTCCCTGCCTCCCTCCCTCCCTCCCTCCCTCCCTCCCTCCCTCCCTCCCTCCCTCCCTCCCTCCCTCCCTCCCTCCCTCCCTCCCTCCCTCCCTCCCTCCCTCCCTCCCTCCCTGCCTGCCTGCCTCCCTCCCTCCCTCCCTCCCTCCCTCCCTCCCTCCCTCCCTCCCTCCCTCCCTCCCTCCCTCCCTCCCTCCCTCCCTCCCTCCCTCCCTCCCTCCCTCCCTCCCTCCCTCCCTCCCTCCCTGCCTCCCTCCCTCCCTCCCTCCCTCCCTCCCTCCCTGCCTCCCTCCCTCCCTCCCTCCCTCCCTCCCTCCTCCCTCCCTCCCTCCCTCCCTCCCTCCCTCCCTCCCTCCCTCCCTCCCTCCCTCCCTCCCTGCCCTCCCTCCCTCCCTCCCTCCCTCCCTCCCTCCCTCCCTCCCTCCCTCCTGCCTCCCTCCCTCCTCCTCCCTCCCTCCCTCCCTCCCTCCCTCCCTCCCTCCCTCCCTCCCTCCCTCCCTCCCTCCCTCCCTCCCTCCCTCCCTGCCTCCCTCCCTCCCTCCCTCCCTCCCTCCCTCCCTCCCTCCCTCCCTCCCTCCCTCCCTCCCTCCCTCCCTCCCTCCCTCCCTCCCTCCCTCCCTCCCTGCCTCCCTCCCTCCCTGCCTCCCTGCCTGCCTCCCTGCCTCCCTCCCTGCCTGCCTCCCTGCCTCCCCTGCATGCATGGCAGCGGCGGCCGTGGACCTGTCGTACCGCGTCGTGAACGCGCGCTCTCCCCAGTGAGCCCGCCTGCGCTGCGCCACCTGAGGCTGTGCCGTGCCACACGGCAGGTGCAGCATGGTGGTGATGCCCCCTGCATGGGCTGTGTGGCCGTGCCGTGCCGTGCCGTGCCAGGCCATGCCATATGCACTGTGATTGCAACAAGACTTGTGGTGGTATGCATTACGAGGCGCAGGGCCGTCCTCCACTCACTACCTCTCGTCATGTGCCTCCCTGCACTGCCACCTCATGTCCCACTGCCTTCCCCGCTTCCCTAACCATTCATCCACTCCACCCCGCCTGCTACCCATCCGCCCCTGGCTTCTCCCTCTCGCACGCTTCCCACCCACCATGTCACCTCGAAGCCAGCTGAGCTGGGCATGCGTCCACCACCCGCATCGCCATGCTTGCGTCCATCACCCGCATCGCCATGTTGCGTCCATCACCCGCATCGCCATGTTGCGTCCATCACCCGCATCGCCATGCTTGCGTCCATCACTATCATGCTCTCAACGCCACTGGCCACTGTGATGCACGTGAATGGCTCATACAATCACCAGCTTATTGCTGTTTATGGCTAGGATTTCTGGAATGTTGGCTGTGTACAGCAGTGAAGGGTGTTTCAAGGAAAGTTGAAATGGCATCAGCAAGGCCCTGTTCTGCTGCCCACCGGCAAGTGGTGGGCGGACAGCACAGCACAGCACAGCACAGCACAGCACAGCACAGCGCAGCGCAGCGCAGCACAGCACAGCGCAGCGCAGCGCAGCGCAGCGCAGCGCAGCGCAGCGCAGCGCAGCGCAGCACAGCACAGCCCAGCACAGCACAGCCCAGCCCAGCGCAGCGCAGCGCAGCGCAGCGCAGCGCAGCGCAGCGCAGCGCAGCGCAGCGCAGCGCAGCGCAGCGCAGCGCAGCGCAGCGCAGCGCAGCGCAGCGCAGCACACAGCACAGCACAGCACAGCACAGCACAGCACAGCACAGCACAGCACAGCACAGCACAGCACAGCACAGCACAGCACAGCACAGCACAGCACAGCACAGCACAGCACAGCACAGCACAGCGCAGCGCAGCGCAGCGCAGCGCAGCGCAGCGCAGCGCAGCGCAGCGCAGCGCAGCGCAGCGCAGCGCAGCGCAGCGCAGCGCAGCGCAGCGCAGCGCAGCGCAGCGCAGCGCAGCGCAGCGCAGCGCAGCGCAGCGCAGCGCAGCGCAGCGCAGCGCAGCGCAGCGCAGCGCAGCGCAGCGCAGCGCAGCGCAGCGCAGCGCAGCGCAGCGCAGCGCAGCGCAGCGCAGCGCAGCCCAGCGCAGCGCAGCGCAGCGCAGCGCAGCGCAGCGCAGCGCAGCGCAGCCCAGCCCAGCCCAGCCCAGCACAGCACAGCACAGCACAGCACAGCACAGCACAGCACAGCACAGCACAGCACAGCACAGCACAGCACAGCACAGCACAGCACAGCACAGCACAGCACAGCACAGCACAGCACAGCACAGCACAGCACAGCACAGCACAGCACAGCACAGCACAGCACAGCACAGCACAGCACAGCACAGCACAGCACAGCACAGCACAGCACAGCACAGCACAGCACAGCACAGCACAGCACAGCACAGCACAGCACAGCACAGCACAGCACAGCACAGCACAGCACAGCACAGCACAGCACAGCACAGCACAGCACAGCACAGCACAGCACAGCACAGCACAGCACAGCACAGCACAGCACAGCACAGCACAGCACAGCACAGCACAGCACAGCACAGCACAGCACAGCACAGCACAGCACAGCACAGCACAGCACAGCACAGCACAGCACAGCACAGCACAGCACAGCACAGCACAGCACAGCACAGCACAGCACAGCACAGCACAGCACAGCACAGCACAGCACAGCAACAGCACAGCACAGCACAGCACAGCACAGCACAGCACAGCACAGCACAGCACAGCACAGCACAGCACAGCACAGCACAGCAACAGCACAGCACAGCACAGCACAGCACAGGCACAGCACAGCACAGCACAGCACAGCACAGCACAGCACAGCACAGCACAAGCACAGCACAGCACAGCACAGCACAGCACAGCAGCACAGCACAGCACAGCACAGCACAGCACAGCACAGCACAGCACAGCACAGCACAGCACAGCACAGCACAGCACAGCACAGCACAGCACAGCACAGCACAGCACAGCACAGCACAGCACAGCACAGCACAGCACAGCACAGCACAGCACAGCACAGCACAGCACAGCACAGCACAGCACAGCACAGCACAGCACAGCACAGCACAGCACAGCACAGCACAGCACAGCACAGCACAGCACAGCACAGCACAGCACAGCACAGCACAGCACAGCACAGCACAGCACAGCACAGCACAGCACAGCACAGCACAGCACAGCACAGCACAGCACAGCACAGCACAGCACAGCACAGCACAGCACAGCACAGCACAGCACAGCACAGCACAGCACAGCACAGCACAGCACAGCACAGCACAGCACAGCACAGCACAGCACAGCACAGCACAGCACAGCACAGCACAGCACAGCACAGCACAGCACAGCACAGCACAGCACAGCACAGCACAGCACAGCACAGCACAGCACAGCACAGCACAGCACAGCACAGCACAGCACAGCACAGCACAGCACAGCACAGCACAGCACAGCACAGCACAGCACAGCACAGCACAGCACAGCACAGCACAGCACAGCACAGCACAGCACAGCACAGCACAGCACAGCACAGCACAGCACAGCACAGCACAGCACAGCACAGCACAGCACAGCACAGCACAGCACAGCACAGCACAGCACAGCACAGCACAGCACAGCACAGCACAGCACAGCACAGCACAGCACAGCACAGCACAGCACAGCACAGCACAGCACAGCACAGCACAGCACCCAGCACAGCACAGCACAGCACAGCACAGGCACAGCCACAGCACAGCCCACAGCACAGCAAGCACAGCACAGACACAGCCCCAGCCACAGCACAGCACAGCACAGACAGCACAGCACAGCACAGCCACAGCACAGCACAGCACAGCACCAGCACAGCACAGACACAGCACAGCACAGCACAGCACCAGCACAGCACAGACACAGCACAGCACAGCACAGCACAGGCACAGCACAGACAGCACAGCACAGCACAGCACAGCACAAGCACAGCACAGCACAGCACAGCACAGCACAGCACAGCACAGCACAGCACATCAAGCACAGCCACAGCACAGCACAGCCACAGCACAGCACAGCACAGCACAGCACAGAACAGCACAGCAAAAGCACAGCACAGCACAGAGCACAGGCACAGCACAGCACAGCACAGCCACACACAGCACAGCACAGCACAGCACAGGCACAGCACAGCACAGCAAGCACAGCACAGCACAGCACAGCACAGCACAGCACAGCACACACAGCACAGCACAGCACAGCACAGCACAGCACAGCACACAAGCTGTGCGTCAGGAGGCTCAGCATGCATCAACAGATTTGAAGGAACATGCTATCTTCCTGCCACCCTCTTCGCAGCTACAAAGGCTTTCGCCAACCAATCCCTGCCCAGGACTACTTGTGCTATCCCTGGGTCTGCGCTCTGAGCGGGAACCAGTCTCGCACCAGTCTCGCACCAGTCTCTCACCATCCTCGCACCCAGTTTGCCTGGGAGGAGGGAACAGCACAGCACTACTGGTTCAGCGTTCTTTAGCGCTAGGTGGGCCGTACAGCACAGCACAGCACTGGCCAGGTTTGGGAGAGAGTTCAAGGTCCCGAGCCTCATTCAAGGAATGCGCCATTGGAATGGAATCTTAAGAGGATCACTGGTAGAGGCCCTCACGAAGCATCATCTAGTGCTGTGCGGAGGGGTAGCACCAGTAGTGTGGCAACATAACTGGGCCCAAATTGTGAAACGGAATACAGGTTTGCTACCCAACCGAAGAAGAAAACCTCTATTGTCAATCCCAGCTGCAGCCTACGGTTGGTCAGTCAAAGCAATCCGGTTGCGCTACGTGGCGACATGCACCACTCACGGCGCTCCTCGATTCTCTCGCCTCCACTGCCCAGAGGGAGGCCAAGCAACAGCCCTCCCACACAGCCCTAACAGATAGCTTTGTTTCCGAGGGCGGTGGTTTCCCAAGTCAGGAGCGCCGTCGCGACGAGGTACGCGTGAGCTGCGATGCGGAAGGCAGTGGTGGCGACGAGGAGGGCTCTAGAAGCTGCGAAAATGTGATCTCGTCGCGCCAGCTTCTTGCTTTCCTTCGTAATTGTTCCACGCCGTTGGCGAGCTCTCGCGAAATTGTTGGCGAAAGCGCGGAGAAGACGAGGCGACGAATGGTTGAGGCTTTTCTTGGTGCACGAGAGGCGCGGGCGAGCGTTAAGAGAAGCTCCCGCGCTGCCGGCGAATCGCGGATGCACCGGATAGTAGGCTCACGGCACGGGCAGAATGGAGGCGGGAGAGGCGGGTACCCGTGTGAGTGGGGTGGCAGTGCGGGTGCGGGTGGTGACGCGGAATGGCTCGGCGGCCGCAGCAGCGACGAGGAGGCGAGCAGCGGCGGCGAGGAGGCGCGCTGCGGCGGCGAGGAGGCGCGCGACGAGGCGCAGCTGGGCGAGCTGCTCCCCGTGGCCGGCGCCGAGTGGCTCGCGGACGCGCCGCCGGCGGAAGTAGGTCAGGCGGAAACTGGTGAGGCGGATACTAGGCAGGCGGAAATGGGTCGGGCGGAAAGCAGGGAGGCGGAAACGGGGCAAGCGGAAACGGGGCAGGTGGAAACGGGGCAGGTGGAAACAGGGCAGGCGGAAACGAGGGGAGCGGAAACGAGGGGGACGGAAACGAGGGGAGCGGAGGTGGAGAGGGGAAGGGCGGAGGAGGCGCAAGGAGCGAGTGGAGCTGCTGACGCCCATGGCGCGCCATCGGCACTGGCGACGGCCTCGGCACTGGCGACGGCCTCGGCACTGGCGACGCCCTCGGCACTGGCGACGCCCTCGGCACTGGCGACGCCGCACCCTGCACGTGCTCCCGCTGGCGCCACCGCGGCACGCGAGGCGCGCATAGCGCCCGCGCAAGTGGAGGCGACTGGCGGAGGGGCGGGGCTGTCGCTGCCTGTCCCCGGCGAGAGCGCGGTCGCTGCCGCGCGGGAAGGGGAAGAGGAACGGGGGCCAGGGGAAGGAGAAGGGGAAAGGAGGAAAGGGAAAGGGGAAGAGAAAAAAGTGGAAGGGGAAGGAGGAGGGGAAGTGAAGGGAGGGGAAAGGGAGAAGATAGGCGGCTATGAGGGGAGGCGGGGCGAGCAGCGCGTTGGTAGTGAGGGCGAGGCGGGACTCCGCGCGCGCCACCTGCTGGCGCTGCTGAAGGCGGCCGCTGCTGCTGGCGGGCGCTGCTCTCTGCCCGTGAGAGGCACTGGCGACGCGGGTGACAGCGGCAGCACGGGCGAGGGCGCAGGCGGAGAGGGCAGAGGTGGGGGCGAGCAGCAGCGGATGGTGGCGGCGTTCCTGCGCGCGCGCGAGGCAGGCGCGGCCGTGGCGAGTGGGAGAGGGGGGCGAGGCGAGGAGTGGGCGCGCAGGAGGCAGAGGCGCGCAGGCAGGGGCGGGCGCGTGGGGAGGGGGCGCTGGCAGGGGAGGGGCGCGAGGCGAGAGCGGGAAGCAGGCAGGGGAGGGGAAGTGGAAGGGGGGAGTGGAGTGGTTGAAGGCGACGAGGAGGGGCGAGCAGGGGGAGATGGCGACGTGCATGGCAGTGCGAGGGGCAGCAGCGACAGGGAGGTGGAGCTGGAGGAGCTGTTGGCCGTGGCGGGGTGGGACCGCTGCGAGGACGCCCAGGGGCAGGGGGAGGGGCAGCAGCAGGAGGAGGCGCGCGGTGGTGCAGCGAGCATGGTGGCGGTGCTGCCCCGGCTGGCCCGCGTGCAGCATCGAGCTGAGTGGGCACCCGACTCGGTGAGTGGCGCGCTGTGCGATTGCTGCCCGCTGCTTGCTGGTGTAGTTGACATGCGGGTGGTGTGGAGAGGAGCGTGTGGAGAGGTGATTGTGGCACATGAGGTGATTGTGGCACATGAGGTGATTGTGGCACATGAGGTGATTGTGGCACATGAGGTGATTGTGCCACATGAGGTGGAGTGAATTTGATTCATTAGTTTGTCGAGAAGAGCATGTGCTGCCATGCCACAGTGGTGATGCTCATTCCACAGTTGTGGCATCTTCCTGCATCCACACCCTCTGAACCCTCCTCATTCATCATGCTTCTCCGCATGCTCAAAACCCCCTCCCGCGAACACCCTCTCCCCGGGCTATGCTTGCGGTCGCCACTCCCCTTCAGGCATGCGCCCTCCTTGCCACCACCTACATCGCTCCCCATGCCTCTGCGCCTGCTGGCGCGGCGACGGGGCAGGGAGAGCGTGCGGATGCACTCGTGCTGCGTCGCCGGGACCGGCAGGCCAGCGAGTTGCGGCGCAGGAGCAGGCTGACCGCGGCAGCTGAGGCTGCAGAGGCGGCACGGAGGGCGGCGGGCGGTGCGGCGCACTCGCGTGATGGATTGAGAGAGAGACGGCTGCGGGAGCGAGAGGAGAGGCTGAGGAGGCGGGCGGGGGGACAGGGAGGGGAGAAGAAGGCGGCGCTTGATGTGCGTGGCAGGGCGAAGGATGCAGGTGGCAGGGCGAAGGATGCAGGTGGCAGGGCGAAGGATGCAGGTGGCAGGGCGAAGGATGCAGGTGCGGAGGAGGGCGGCACTGGGGTGGCAGGCGAAGGCGGCAGGCAGGGTGTGACGCGTGCGGGCGCACTGCGTGGCGGGCACATGCACTGGCGTGAGCGACAACGTGGACAGGGAGGGGCGGAGGGTGGTGAGGGTGTGAGGCGGACAAGAGGGAGAGGGAATGGGAGTGTGCGGGTGATTGAGGAAGTGGTGAGGGAAGAGGCTGGGGCGAGTGAGAGCGAGTCCGATGGGCTGGAGGGGGAGATAAAGGAGGAGGTGGAGGAGGAGGGAAGGAAGAGGTTGAGGCAGTGGGGGAGTGAGGGCGGTGGGGGGAGGACGAGACAGGAGCAGAAGGGGCGAGGTGGTGTGAGGGGAAGAAGGGCAGATGAGCGAGCAGGCAAGGCGAGCTGCAGGGAAGTGGAGAGCGTGACTGGGGCAGGGAGTGGTGGAGTGGAGAGGGTCAGCAGGAAGGGAACGCTAGGAGATAAGGGTAGTGAGAAGGGACGGGTAAGAGAGGAGAGGGAAAGAGCGGGGAGAAGTGAGGAGGAGCGGGCGAGAGATGGAGATGTGAGGGGCAGGCCCGTTGACTCGGGGTCGCGTCCTCCCCGGCAGCCCGTGAGGGATGTGGCGGGCAAGTTTGCTCCATGCAGTGGGGTGGAGGAGAAGGGAGGGAGGAAGAAGAGAAGGAGAGGCGAAGGTGAGGAACGAGGTGCGGATGTCCAAGGCGGAGTGGGAGTGCAGCGAGTAGAGGTGGAGGGGAGTGGTGGTGGTGAGGGGGGCGTGCAAGTGCAGGGCGCAGAGTGGGTAGAGAGGAGAGGCGCGGGAGTCCCTGTGACTCCCCAACAGGTGGAGGGGAAGCGACGCAGAGTGGTTGTGGCAGCAGCGGTAAGACCTCCAGCACAACCTGCACT